CTGTACCAACAGCTGAAATTAGGTTTTTCAAAACCTGTTACTCAAGAGACTATTTTCAAGTATTTACAAAAAGTTAGGAAAACCCAATATACAAAAATGCAAAACATTATTCTAACTAATGAAACTATTTCATTTAAAGTGTCTACAAATTTCAAACTCATCAAGCATAAATGTTTTTAAAAGTGTACTACAAGCTGCTTTTCAGGAGCACTCCCTAATCCAAACCTATCTCTACAGTTAGCCTTTGAAATCTAAATCTAATTAGAGAAACGGATCTCGCTTTAATCAGAAAATGTGCATTTTTATTTAAATTAGGAGATATTTGAACTTGCTACAACCTAAATTTACTCAAGTTCCCCACTTTTAAAATTCTTTTCACGAACATTTTAAAAACTCACATTTGCAAATGTTCCATACAGTTCAAAAAACTCCAAATATGTGGAAACAGCATTTGCCAATTCAAATTTATACTGTTCTATCAAATTCTGATACTTGGAGACATCTCCACACTTTTTTTTTTTATCTTTCATTTTCCTTTCTTTTAGATCTAGAAGAGAATTAAATAGAAATATTCCAAAAAGAAGTCAGATGAGTATAACTCGTCTGAATGTTTTAAATTGATTCTATTATTCAAATTTTTTTACCAGAGCACATTCGTTTTATTTTCATAACTAAATCACTTGCAATAGGGTAACTATTTTAACTTAAATCAAAGACAAGTCAGTAGTTAAAACCAATTTGATTTCATCACTTTTTTTACTAAACAATATTCAGCACAAACAGAACAACCTTATTTGCAAGAATGTTTTGTAAACTATAAAACTGTGTGGAAACATGAAAGACTTGATTCCCATCTCTACGAGATGGTTTAGGGTTGTTATAACGTGCTATTCCACCTTCATTCCAGGTCACTCTCACATTAGAATTCAAAAGTAAAAACTTAGTTCTCAGAACTCCAAATATTTATTTTTCAATTTGCCCTCTTCCCCTGCATTTATCTCAATGCATTATAACTATGCATATGTAATTTTATGCTTAAACATAGTTTTATTTGACCACTCAAATAACACTATAAGGTAAAAACCTATAATACTACTTCCACCTTACTGAGATCGTCAACTTACCCATATTTACAGGATCAGAAAGTGAGTCTGAATATAATCCCACCTCTTTGTCTTTTGAATCCACTTATAGAATCTCCAATTTAACTTCAACTCTGAACTTTTTTTGCCAAAATCATTCCTATATCAACAACCTGTATCCACTTTCATTCTTATGATGTTCTTGCATTCAAATGATTATAAAACTTAATGTCAGGGTGATATACAAAGATTATCGCGAAAAACAGAGATAAGAGAGACTGTTAGTGGTAAATATTAGCATTGTTACATCTTTTGAAACTTTTTTTTTCTGGTTTGTTTGTGGCAGCCACACCCTGCTGTGCTCAGGGCTGACCTGGCTGTACTTGGTGGACCATATATGGTGCCAGGGATCAAACCCAGGTCAACTGCATGCAAAGCAAGCACCTTACTCTCTGTATTATCTCTCCTGTCCCTGAAAGACTTTAAAGTATAAAACTTGAGTATGAAATGTCTTAAGTGAAATCACAAAATTTTCAAAATTAAAGTTAATATAGAAAAGATCCAGGTATTGAAACCATGTATTAGAACTAAAGATGAGGGACCTCTCACTGTTTTCTCAGTTTTCATTCATCTGAATTGGCAAATAATTCTGATGACTTTCTGATGTAGCAATACTATTATTTTGAAAGCAAAGGAGTAATAAACCCTGACTTTAAAATGTAGGGTGTAGTATGAGGATGAAATTAACTTTCTGTAATTTAAAGAATATGTGGTTTGGTTAAGTAGTGATGATGCACTGGCCTAAGAAAAATAGATTGATCCCTCCTATTTAATAAGATCTACAACAAACCTAAAAATGGTAGCTTAACCTTCATTTATTTCTGCTAAGTAAATTTAGAGTTCATTCTTCTATTTAGGCCAGTTACTAAAAATTATTGTTTTTATACATAAAAGATGCTTTATAAATCTGCCATCAAGTTAGCTTGTCTGGATGCTCTGTTAACTTGCTTTCGTCATAATATTCCTCTTGAAATGGGAATATATCAACCTGCGATGTAACAATACTAAATTAAGCTATTTCCTTAATACACTGCTTATTATATATATCATGTCCAGAGATAATGGGCAATATTTGCATTCCTGTTCCTCCTGCCCTGTCCAACAACTATGATGGTTTATAAGATATTTATGTACACTAGGAATCAATGCTTTTCCAGCTGAAATAAATGTAGACAACTAACCTCTCTGTATGCAACAGAAAAAAAAAAGAAAGAACAGAAGGGGACTGGAAGAAGGAAAATAAGTATTATATCTTATATCTTAAATGTCTCACTATTTCTCTCAATACTCAATTCTTCTACAATTTTACCTGATTTTAAAACAAATATCTGCAAAAATTATATGATTTATCCCTAACACATGACAAATATAAGAAATAAAGGTTATCATCTTATTTAGAAATATAATTTATTAAGATCATGGTATCTAACAGAACTTTTGTGCCCCATGAAAATTCAATAAATGTTAGTAATCACTTAGTTGTCATAATGAAGTATTATATTTAATACTAAATGTAAAAGTCACCTAAGTTTACCTGATTTTTGATCTTTCATTACCTAGAACATATTTAAATATATATACATAAACAGTATTAATTTTTTTTCAATTCAGGATCCAACTGCAAAACTCGTAATATATATAAACTCATAAAAAAAAATCTAACTGATCAACAAGTTTCAGTTACTAGGTTATGTGATTATTTCGGGTGTTTAATGAGAACAATATTACTGGAATTATTAAAAATAAAACCTCAACTTCACCAACAATTATATTTGCTTGGTACCATGTAACCTGAGCACTTAGGAATTTCTCCAAGAGATACCTAAGTTAATACAACCATTTAAGCTACAACTTTCATTTGTTCTCTGAAAGTTGAAATGTACAGATTAGATTTGTTTTTCAAAGCAGTCTTCTGCTGGTTGCCAGAGAGACAGCACAGAGGTTAAGGCACAGGCCTTGAATGCAACTAACTCTGATCCCTAGCACAAGGTTCTTTGCGCAAGGTTCTTTGCGCAGCCCTATAGCCCCCCGAGCCAAGCCCACCACCAAGGTTCTTTGCACAACCCTATAGCCCCCCGAGCCCAGCCCAGCCCACCACCACCACCACCACCACACACACACACACACACACACAAGAAAAGCCAGTGTGGTGCATAGTCCATAATCCCTGGAACTGCACAGTGCAAGCGGCAGTGCATCCTGAGGCCCTGGTACCCAACAGGCACTACCATTCAACTGCCAGTCTAGCTGACTGAACATTCTCTGAAAGGGGCCCCAAGATTTCCTAAATACTACTTGAGAGTCCCCCCCCCACGTCCCTCCACATACACCTCAAAAAATAGTTTTTAATAATCTTTGACTTTTAACTGTTGGGTCATCAATTTAATAATTATTATAATTTCACCACTAAATATGAATTTCTTGCCAATAGCAAAGTTACTTATATTAATATACCTTAAAACCACTTAAAAGAACAGACTTAATAAGCCACAAAACTAAAAATTAGTGCAATTATAGCTTTGTCAGTTTAGAAGCCTAACAAAAGATAATAACATGAATTAGATTCAAAAGCCTTAATGTGTCTGAAGATAATTTTTTAATGCCATGACCAGGACAATCTGGCTCATAGGCACTTCCCACATGCCTTCTGAGAACTAAGTGTACACTCTGGACTTGGTAAGAGCAACAACTAAATCTCCTCCAAAAGAACTGTAAAATGGGATATAGTTTAGAGGTAGGGACCAAGTACCTATGGATTAAGCACCTCGAATTCCTTTCTAATGGCCCATCACTGCACATTTCGCAGGGCATCAGGGACATAGGCAGAGTTCTAATACCATACTGAAGACACAAAACCCCAGGTCAGTATACAGTATCATGACTAAACAAGATTTCTCTGCCTCTGCCAACTTGGGAAATGACTTAATGCAAATCAATCAAAAATAAAATTTATAAACTGCCTAGCATGCTTTCAGGGAGTCATATAAAGAGAACAATCAAAAAGTTCTGGAATTTCTAAACTGCTTCTCAAAACAAATGCGCTTCAAATGGAGACAACTCGACCTCCAGAAGGGAAACCACACTCAAGTCCTCTCAGGATACAAAACAGAGCATGAAAAAGAAATGGTTCTCACAGAGAACAGGACAATGAGCTAGCTAATGAGAATAAAAATAGCATCCTCTAGGAAAATAAGGGAATGACCTCTCATTCCCTTGATGGGTTCATCCTAAGTGACACATTTTTTTCTATACTGTGTAAGGAGTATGTTGAAAGTGTTAAATTCACCACTCATCACAGCTGACTAGAATAGAAAAAATGAGACAATTTAAAGGGATTACCCATTTAGGACAGGAGACAATAACAACCTACCTTTAGGCTACTGCTCTCTGGGGAAGGAGTCGGGGAAATTAGTTTTTGGTTTGTAGTGGCAGAATAAACAGTGGCTGCCAATTGCAGAATTCTATTTAAAAGGCCACCTCTAACACAGTCAAGAAAACTGATTTTTATCTTTTTAACCAGTTTGGGAAGCTGGTTCTCTGTATTAGTCATCACCAATATCATTCATGTCAAATACAAAAAAGCAAAAATACTCTCTATGTTGTATTTTTGATAACCACACTCTAGAGTATTATTTATAGTTCTCAAACATCTAAAATTATTGTCATTAAAATATCTGTGACTATGATAGAAAGTCTTTAGATACGAAACCTAGAGTCTGTTGAAAGTATGAAAACTAAAAAACAAAGTATATTTTTAGTAAAAGTATAAAACATTAATGTTTCCGTACTTGTCATAAGAACAACAATTAACCCAAATATGTGAAGCTATAAATACTGTGAGTTCCATATTGTCCATACCATTTTTGTAAGTAGTCCAGTGCCTCCAAACGAGCACCAATCTCAAAAGTGATTCCGGGACGATTTGGGGGCTTTTTACTCATCTTGAGATCCTATTCTTCAGTATTCTTTTTTCACTACCTCAAGTAGGAAAAAAAAAGAGGGGGAGGGGGTTAGAGTCTGTGCATAAGATGCCTAGGGAATTAAACTGAATTTAAAAAAAAATTTTTAAAACAGAATTTAAATAAAAGGCCCTAAACAGAATTTAAATATTACACAAAAACCTAAAATTGTCAAATTTTTAAGATATTTCAAGATGATTTACCAATACCTCTAGCATGCAACTTACAATCTTGATAAATTAAGAAAAGGGCACAATAAAAATTAATACTTAAATATACAGGCATTACAGATTGATAATGGCTGGAATGCCTCAAATTTTAATTTAAAAATATTCAAAAAGTCTCCCCCGAATGCTAGAAAAGAAAAAAACAGAAAAACCAAGAGTGTTCTGGAATTTACTAAAATTCTTAAAAGAAAAACCTCATCAAAGTTTTCAATATTCACTAATGTCTCAACACGCTTGCAAAATCACTAAAATGCACATAAGGATAGAGACAGCTGACATACTCTTTACTGGTAAAGATTTTAATACACTATCTTGTGATAAAGATATGATTTCCCATAGTGGTAGGAAACGATTCAATTCTTCTAGTTTTACACAGAAAGTGGCAATGGAAATTTGTCTTTATATTTTGTTCAAAAAGTAACAATAATATGAATTTTTTTTTTTTTTAAAGGCCCTCCCGTTGATCGTCGATTTGCTCGAGCGGGCCCAGTAACGTCTCCATTGGAGACTTTGTTGTAATGCATTTGTACTAAATAACTATATTTCAATATGGACATTGCATATGGGTGACTGTCATATTAAACAAAATAGTATAGATGAGTCTCCAGATGACCGAAGGACTATCTACTGTTCTTTAGCTACAATGTCCACTCAGTATACGTGTGGTGGTCCTTCTTTGCCTCCTCCATTAACTATACTTTAGTATTCTGAGACATCCCAATCAAAATACAATAGGCAATAAGGCAAAATAGATTGTTACTGGGAAAGGAGAGTACCCAAAACACTACTGATATTAAAAATTGATACTATCTCTATGCTTCATTCCAGTTAAAACACACACACACACACACAAGGTGTCATTTTTAAAATAACTGAGTGGCAATTCAAAAAAGAACAAAAACGTAGCAGAAAAAAAAAGCTGTCTTTTCTTCTTTGAAAGAATCTGATGAGAAAAACAGCACCAATACTAGCCTGCAAAAAATATATAAAGCCAAATTAAAATACTCATGAGAAAGGATAAGGGGAGTTTCCCTGCATTGTTAGCCCCCCCCCAAAAAAATCACATTATTAAAAAGTTAACAGAAAGCTCCACCATAGGGTTATTTGGTGTAAAAAGAATAAAAGTGGAAATCATTATTCCAACAGAGGTCAGGTCAGTGTGTAATTATGATGCAGCGACTTCAACAGCTGTGTAGAAATGTAACCAAGCGGTTCCTGCGATTCTTCACAAAAGATCTTCCTAAGAAACGGTCCCCCAGATATGTTAACATTTTCCAGAATCAAACTTAAGAGCCCAGGGTGAGAAAGGTGTACCATGGCTCTAGTGATACTGAAGAAAGTCCAAAAAGCGGGAACGGGGGGGAGGGGGGGGGAGACGGCGGGTGGTAAAGATTTCCTTTTCCTGGGGTGGAATGGGGAGGGAACAGGAGCAAATTTCAATTGATGAAGAAGACACAATGAGAGACCCAGACACACGGGGCGGGGTGATGAAAGGAGAGAAAGAAAAAAAAAAAGGGTCCCCGCACAAAGTAAAACGGGAAAACTGACCTAAGCATGCCCCCATTTCCCAAACAACACAAAAGTACCACGTCAAGGAACGTGGGAAAGCGGTGCGTGATGACAGCCGGGGAGGAAGAGAACATCTGCCAGGAGACACGGCCCCGGGAAAAGGGGACAGCCAAGAGCGCGGCCTGGGGACCAGAACCGGAGGGCGGGGAGGGGACGAGGGGCCGGCCGGAGGCGGTGGCACAGGACCAACAGGAAAAGCGGCGGGCGCGGAGGTCCAGGTTTGACAGCCATCCGGCCCGCCGCAGGGGAGGGAAGGAAGGGTGGGGAGCGGGAGCCGCGTCGCCCAGACAATAGGGGCGGCGAGCCGCCGAGAGGGACGCGCGAGGGGAACGAGCGGGCCGGAGACAGACACCAGCGCGGGGGCGTCCGGAGGCCCGGCGCGGGGGCCGGACCACCTGCAGGCCCCGCCGCCGCCGCCACCGCCGCCGCCTCTTACCGACTCGGCCTCGTCTCCGCACAGCAGCCCGGGCCGTCCGGGGCCGAGCCGGGGCGCGAGCACGGGGCCAGCCCGGGCCTCCAGCACCGCGCCCGCCGCCGCCTCCGCCCAGGCAAGCGGCTGCGGAGGAAAGCGGGACCCCAGCGAGCCGAAAGTCGCAAGGCCGGGTCCCGCCCCCGAAGTCGCAACGGAAGGGACGGCTCCGAGCCCTCAAGCCCGCTCGGTGTCCGCTGCCATCGCCTCTGATGCCGCCTCTGTCGCCGCCGCCGCCGCCGGACAGCCGGAACGCGACGCCGGACCCCGACGTCAGCCACCCGCGACGCGCCGGAAGCGGGCCGGGCTGCGTCACGTGACTGGGGGTTGGGCCCCGGTCGCGCCGCCCGATTGGAGGGCTTCCTGGGAGGCGGGGCGTGAGATTGCAACCTAGCGGCTAATGGGCGGGGCCTTTGTTGGTGGGGGCGGGGAAGGCTTTCGAGCGCTGGAACCTTACCAGAGTTTGGAAGTGATGACCTTTAAAAGTTGGGTTGGAAGCCCGGGAAATTGTATCGTTTGATGAGTACCAAAACGCACCCCATCATCTCGGGAAAACTTTTGTAAAGACACTACTACCTGCATCCTAGATATAAACCCCAGACTACGTTAAAAACTGTTGCACAGTTACATTACCCTGAAAATCTTTTCAGCGCATAAGTCACCTATTACTAAGGAAGGCTGTGTGTGTGTGTGTGTAGATGAACAATGTAGCAACATATCCGTGTGTGTGCGCAGATGAACAATGTAGCAATATATCCGTGTTTGTGTGTGTGTGTGTGTGTGTGTGTGTGTGTGTGTGTGTGTGCAGGTGAACAATGTAGCAACATATCCCTACCCTGTTTAAAGCCCCATTATAGGCATAAAAGAAAATGTCTGTCGTTAAGTACATAGGTTCCAAGAAAGTTTCTACTTCAAAGGAAATCAACAAATGCACAGATTCAAAATAATGTTAAAATAAAACATCTTATTTCGTCTCTTTCCAGTGTACCCCTCTGGCTTTCAAACTCTAAAATGCAACACTGCAAACAACTATTGGTCATGCTTAATAGTGTAGAGTTAAAACAGTAAAGCATCTCCCTTAAAGCTTCAATTGTGGTCTGATTTAAGTAATTTAATTTTTTAATTGTGGTGTAATTTAAATAACCGCATTCATGTCCGGTTATTCTCCATTCATTCGGCAATTACTTTGTTACTAATAGACAGTGAGCCAAACTGAGAATGGAGCTATGTAGAAAAGATTTTAAAATAAAGAAAATCTCTTCTATGGCCATTTGCTTTCTTATTTTTCTGGTAGCCTAATGTCTAAACTCCCTTTCCATGTTTGGAAAAGTTTTCGTCATAGTTGTCATTTGTGCAGCATAAAAGGTATTTTCAGAAACTTCTGGATACCTGGAAGAATAATTATGCTTCCTTCCTTTTGTAGGATTATTAATGATCATTTAATTTGTTTTTAGTTAATAAAACTAGGTTATAATTTACCATTATCATGATCAGCTGGATTTTTAAAAAGTCAATCCAGCAATTGTCCTGTCCCTAGGCAGATTTTTTAAAATATGGGGCTGCTCTAACACCCCAAATTCAACTCTGAATTTTACTATATTACCAACTGTGATTCTATTATATTAAATCGGAACCCACTAGTAATCTGCAACTGATCCATAATACAAGGTGAAAAACAAAATTTTGTTGCTTTGAGTTGCTGAGAATTTAATGCTTGTTATACAGCATTAACCTATTTAAACTGATAGATGCAACCACTTTATGAATCTTGGAATAAGAGTCAACCTCACACTATATAAGATGACAACATCAGAAAGCCAAGTGAAGTTCAAGTTCTATTCTTAGCTGTGGTAATTAGCCCTCTCACTGAGGACTCTGGTACAAAAGCATCTAAACATGTTCTAGAAAATAAGGAAAATATTCTCCAATAGTTAAAGTTTGCAGTACTAGTGATAATTTATTTTTCTTTTACCCCAGAACTAACTACACCTTGACAGAAACTTGCTGTCAAAGAAGCCAAATAGAGAGAGTAAAAATGTTTTGTTATTCTATATCACTGAAAAATTGAAGCTTTTTCAGTATGGACTATTCTCAAAAAATTAGAAATTGAGCTCCTATTTGACCCAGCAATACCACTCCTGGGAATATATCCCAGAGAGGCAAAAATGTATAGTCGAAGTGACATCTGCACTTGTTTGTTCATTGCAGCACTTTTTACAATAGCCAGAAACTGAAAGAAACCTGAGTGCCCAAGAACAGATGACTGGTTAAAGAAACTTTGGTATATCTACACAATGGAGTACTATGTAACTGTTAGAAAAGATGAAGTCATGAAATTTACATACAAGTGGTACAGCATGGAAAGTATCATGCTAAGTGAAATGAGTCAGAAAGAGAGGGATAGACATAGAAAGATTGCATTCATCTGGGGGATATAAAGTAAAAAAATATGAGATTAATACCCAAGAATAGCTGAGATTAGCACCAGGAGGATTACTCCATAGCTTAGAGGCCAGCCAGGCATTCTAGGGGAAAGGGCAGCTCAGCTCAGATAGAGAAGAGAGCACCAAATAAAGGGTGTTTGGAGGATCCTCCCAGGAGGTTAGATGCATGTTGAAAGTAGACTATGGACTGAACATGTTTGCCACTCAGTGCCTCTTTTGCAGACCACAACACCCAAAAGGAGAGAGAGAACAAAAGGGAATGCCCTGCCACAGAGGCAGGGTGGGATGGGGGGGTGGGAGGGATATTATCCATGGTGGTGGAAAATGGGAACTGATGGAGGGATGGGTATTTGATCATTGTATAATCGAAACCCAAGCACAAAAAATTGTAAATCTACAACTGTACCTCATGGTGTTTCACTAATAAAAATTTAAAAAATTGAAGCCTTTTGGATTTAAACAAAATGTATATGTCAAGAATAACACAGGTTCTGTCTGCTCCCAATCACTGAAAATCCACCAATCCACCCTAAAAAGTTAATTTTTCTATTTTTATTGGGATGCAAAAATGAACCCATTCAATAATAAAACATTCAATAATAAAATTTAAGGAATCCATAAGGAATTTAAGGAACCCATAAAAAATAATAAAACTGAAACAAAAATATTAAAATAATCTATTCTGTAAATGACCCCTGACTTGAGCAGATTATAGAGGTGAGTGTTCTCAATGGGGGTAAAGCTATTCTTTTTATATCTGAAGACTGTCATCTATCAAGAACTAGTCCTTGAACTGTCAGTAAATAATCATTGTGGTAGTTCTGTTGTTTTCAGCCTTTTTTTTTCTTTTATCATGTAGGCCAATATAACCTGTGGACCAGCAACTGGAAACTGCATCCTAGAGAACATTTGGGAATAGGAGTGCAGGGTCCTTTTCTCCATCTTACATGATTGAGATAGGGTAAGGCTGCCATTTAATGGTGAGCTGCTAAATATAGTGAAATGCACAGTACAGTGCCATACTTTGAATAATTTACCAGGGCCATGAATGTCTTTTGAGTATTGTTCTAGACATCCACATAGGTAAAAATCCACATGTTATTGGGTGTGGAAATCAGTTTTACACATAAGCCAAGATCGCAGTGTTTTCATATTTTCAAGGAACAAAACAATTATATGAGGGAAGATTCTCCTTTGTGATGAGTTTAATCCTATTTTGTTAAGCTTCTCATAGAAGGAACTGATAGAAAGCACCCGTATCACTTTGCATTTGCTGCTGCTATTTTGGGGGTAAATTTTAATTTAGGATTAAGTGGCTGATATTAAGTAGCTGAAGTATCAGCTACTTCATTGTTTCTGCGAGTCATGGAATAACTTTAAATATTGCAATGAGTCTGTGCTCAGGGATTACTCCTGGCGGGGCTCATTCATATGAGGTTCCAGGGATCAAAGCCTGGTTGGTCGCATGCAAAGTAAGCAACTTACCTGCTGTACTATCTCTCTAGCCTCTTTACTCTCTAGCCTCATACATGATTTTTTTTTTGGATAGCACAGTGGGTAGGCATTTGCCTTGCAAGCTGCCAGCCCGGCAGAGCCAGGTTTGATTCCTCTGCCCCTCTCAGAGAGCCCGGCAAGCTACCGAGAGTATTTTGCCCCCACGGCAAAGCCTGGCAAGCTACTCGTGTGATGTATTTGATATGCCAAACACAGTAACAACAAGTCTCACAATGGAGACATTACTGGGTTCAAGCAAATCGATGAACAATGGGAGGACAGTGACAGTGACAGTGAAGGAAAGTCACATAGACTGTGGTTGCAACATTTGACCATCAAGAATCAAAGGTTAATAATAAGAAGAATGTAAATAAGAAAAAAATAAAATAAGAAAAAGAATATAAAATATAGGAAATTTTCTAGATGATTTCCTAGCCATGCTGTGAAGTTATACGTTGTGATATCCTCTCCACTCCCACCCAGCACACCCCTCATCCAGATGGTTAGTGTTAGCCATCAGTCACTTCATCTCCAAATATAGAAAGAAAGATCTTACAGCTGTGTTTGAGTGGAATGGAACAAGCAGTGGGAAAATTATCTTGAAACAATCCTGAGCAGAAATCATTGAACTAAATTATTACAACATTAAAAAAAACATGAATATGGAGCTACAAGAGCTCTTGGAAAATTTGAAAACTATATATACTTATTTGAAGATAACTCACCACAAACTACCAGATATTCTTTGATTACATGTAAAATGTAAGAAATCCATTTTTATTTCTGTAATAATTATAAATAGAATGAGTGAAGCAATGAAAAGTTTTGAGTTTTTTTAAAAATTAAATATATATATTAACTTAGTAGATACTTACACAACTACTCTGTTCTCTGTTCAAGGTGCTTAAAAATATTTGAAAATGACACTACAATTAATTTTGTCTACCTTGCCAAGGAACTAACTTACTTAGTGATCTGTGCCCATATCCCTTTATCAAGTGACCATAATTGATGATTGCACAAGAATTAAACTTTGTGTTGACCTTCTAGATCACATGTGAACCAGAAATAGATTCATTGTATCTCTCATGTTCACAGAGCATTGTTTATATTTTGACATATGACCCATTTTGATTTATCGTTTAAGTTATATTTTACTAAAATAAGTCATCCCTAAGGATTTTAAGCTGTTCTGTGCTCTTTTACGTTACTCGCTTGTATTTTACTGGAACTCTGTACGCAACTCAGAGTCTACCTGGGTTTCTGAGATTTTTAAAATTTTTTCGAGTTAGTAGGAATGTGTTTCTAGAGACCAGACCTATGGAAACTGTAGTGAGAAAGAAAGAGAGAGAGAGAGAGAGAGAGAGAGAGAGAGAGAGAGAGAGAGAGATTGATTTAGTCCTGTCAGGAAACTACCCTGTTAGTGTCACAAACGATTATCAGGCTATACCTAGAT